GAAGAATTAAGCAAAGATACATATTTTCTGACAAGACCTGGAGTTTACTAGGGTCATGCAGACCATGATCTGTCCTGGCCCTAGCTGGAGAGTTCCAGCACACATCAACATGTCCTGCTGCCATAACATTTGGTAACCTATAGGACAGGAGTCTTAGATTCAACCAGTGGTATTAAAATGCTCTTATGGCATCCCCACAATCAATACCATGCTGCTCAGAAGGGTGGTCAGGCCTTGCAAATGTCTCTAGAATCATACACACCTACACAAGAGGAGGATGTCACTACAAGAACACTATTACTGTAGACTGCAGAACAGTATCAGTGTTTTAAACACAGTCCCACACCAATTTGTACCAGCAACACACTTGCAGCATAACAGCAATGTTTTATTGCCTTAAGGCAATGCAGTTCACCTTAACACCTCTAAGTGCTGTGTATTTATTTCCCACAAAAACATGCTGCACGGCCTCGGAAGTCTGTTAGCTCGGCATCATCAATATCACTTTCTGTCTCACACCCTGATGTTTGTCTGATGAATGAGACACATTGTCTTGATACACTGCCATGGGGTTTTTTACTGCTGTGAAGTGTTTGGACACAAGGCATGGCCCACAGCCTCTCTGCCTCTGTTTTTCCCCTCTGGAGGTGCCAGACGAAATGTCAGCTTTAAAACTAAACAAACAATACTTGAGGCAGCAGCAAGGACAGGGGAAGCATAAGGCTGATGGATGACAACACTGATAACAAACCAGACAATAAGGGGGACAACAAAAGCTTTCAAAAAACCCTTTTGTAAATACTAAGCCAATAATTTGTTCAAAGCTGAGGAAGAAAAAGATGAGCACAGAGATATGAGAGAAGCAGAATGAAACAAAGGTGTTCAGAGGGCAGGGGAGTAACAAGATCAGCCTATCATCTAATCCATGGATCTCACAGGTCTAATCAGTGCACAAGCCATTACAGGGACTTTAGTGACACTGTAGGGTTTAAAGTGGCTATCCACCAGCTCAGCTGCAATAACTGTCAAAGACACGCTAACTTAGCTCTGAGCCAGAGGGTAACCCAACCTGCAGAGCTTCACCTCTGCCATTACCACAGACTAGCCACTGCAAACCCATCATACCTTGGGTGTCTTCATCCTGACAGTCTAACTAACCTGTGCCCTACAGCCATGTTTCACCTCTGTGATATGATGAAACAATTGCATTAATAGCAAAAGCCATCACAATTCACAGAATTATAGAATCATAGAATAGTTAGGGTTGGAAAGGACCTTAAGATCATCAAGTTCCAACCCTCCTGCCATGGGCAGGGACACCTCGCTCTAAACCATATCACCCAAGGCCTCGTCCAACCTGGCCTTGAACACTGCCAGGGATGGAGCATTCACAACCTCCCTGGACAACCCATTCCAGTGCCTCACCACCCTAACAGGAAAGAATTTCCTCCTTATATACAATCTAAACTTCCCCTGTTTAAATTCCACAACATTTTGTGAAATAGATGCTATTCCACAAAAACAGATGCTGACTTAAGTAGCCATACGTCAGCAACAGAATAGTGTCCTGGCTTTGGCTGGAACAGAGTTAATTTTCTTCCTAGTAGCTGATGCAGTTCTGTGTTTTGGCTTTAGTCTGAGAACAATGCTGACAACACACCGATGTTTTAGTTCTTGCTCAGCAGCACTTACCCCGATCAAGGGCTTTTTAGTCTCTCATGCTCTGTCAGTGAGGAGCATGAGAAGCTGGGAGGAAGCAGAGATAGGACATCTGACCCAAACTAGCCATACCACAGCACATCATGTCCAGTATAGAAAATTGGGGGAGTTATCCAGAAGGCACCAATCAGTGCTCAGGCTGGGCTGGGTACCAGTTGGCGGGTGGTGAGCAATTTTATTAGGCATCACTTGTCTCTCTTGGCTTTTATTCTTCTTTCTTTTTTTCCTATTATTATTGTTTTTATCATTATTGTTATTATTATTTTGTTTTACTTTATTTCAATCATTAAGCTGTTCTTATCTTAACCCGTGGGCTTTAACCTTTTTTCTCATTCTTTTCCCCATCCCACTGGGGAAGCAGGGTGGGAAATGAGTGAGCAGCTCCGTGGTACTTAGTTGCTAGCTGGAGTTAAAACATGACAGTAATTACATTATCACAAACCCATTTTTTAGGGAGATCTATAATATTTATTCCACTATTCACAATAACTAGTACACATGGCAAAATATGGAAAAATAGCATTAGGAAACTCTATATGGTAAAAATCACAACTAATTGTCAATTAACTAAACTAGCTGACTTGGTGATGTATTGTAACTAGACCTTCTGTACAATGAATGAAGAGAAAAAGCCATGCTTAGGGCCTGGCTTGTCTCATAAACAGGTCAGAGGTCTACAAAAGGAGCCATGGGAAGTATTTCATGCGAAAGGATCTGCTACACTGGCATCAGAAGGCTCATTACAGCAACACCAGTGCCTGTGTGTCTGTTTTCTGTGGCGAACATGAAAATTTAGCATGATACAGTTCTCAACACCAGCATAGCACCAATGAGAAATGAAAGAGCTTATATTTATATTGGGAATTTACCTAATGGAAGGGAATGTTATGCCTTCATTCAAATCTGCTTCTGAGGAGGACAGGTTCTGAGCCCTTCTAAGCTCAGACAGCACTATTTTGATTTCAGTAGAGCAAGAAATGGTCTGGATTACCGTTTGGTTTGCAAAGGTCTCACAGCTACTGTTTCTGAGGTTTCTTCCTCTCTTCCTTGTTTTTTCTGTCCTATTATTTTCATTATTCAAATCACTGCTTTAAAAAGCAATTAATTGCATTGCCTGAAAATCTACTAAGTACCTGCTCTTATGCAAAAAATTACTTCTGGAGTGACTGCCTTTTACAGGAGTCACCTCTTACACCTTCTTCCATTGGCTACCTGAAATGATAAGCACTGGGATATGGGCAATAAAAGACTTTGCAATAACAGTAACTTGTCATCGGGAGCTGAGCATCCTATTACCCCTAACTTTTCTCTTGACATGCAGTTGCTTTCCCAGCCTATGAAACACAGACACTAAGGCCACGAGGTATTCTATTAAGTTTTCAGTACTTAAGACTTGGTGTCAGGGACTTGACCAGAAACACAACTCATAGAATTGGTTTGCCAGCAGCATGCATCTGCCCTCAAGACCTACAGTTAATGGCAGGAAATTGCTCCTTCACCACATCTCCCAGGTGCAGGCAGCAGAAGCTGAAAGGGAGAAATGACTCAAACTAACCGGCTCTTCTATGCACTGCACAGCATATCTGTGCTACTCCTGCATCCTTTTAATTTAGGCTTGTAATTGAGTTCTCTGAAATAAACTGTTAACCCTCTTTGGTGTCAGGCATAAACTGTCAGGAATGGAAAAATGTGATACACGAGAGAATTTGAATAAATAGGATAAAGGCTGAGAGAACAGGTCTTGAGAGGAGCTCAAATAGCAGTATTTCACATAAAAACTCCTCCAGCCCAATATCCTGAGTGCAGAAGTAGCCATTAGAGCATGCTTAAGAAAGATAATAACAACAGTGGCAAATATAATAATCCTTCCTCAAGCAGTCAGAGGATTAGAGACCATGAATTGTCACAGGGCTGAAGGCGGTGAGTGAGAACAGGGCTCCACAGTGCAGATGTGGCATAAAGGGTCGGGTAAACTGCCTGCTTCCTGACTGCACCTCTGAGCCAGGGAGAGATATCCCTGTTTTACAAAACTCATACAACAAATAGCCTCTGTGATGTGACGATGCCTTGAATCTCATACAGTCCAATCCAGGCAAACCTGGCTCTCAATGGGGAATATAAATACTGAGTTGGGAGCATAACATTTAAATGCTAATAGAGAGCAATTCACACCACAGAGGCAATCAGAAAACTTCAAAGATGCAACTTCTTTTGGGAAACTCATTTAGGCAGTACTTCTCCACCCCATTTTTCCCAATAGCCTACTGTCCTTTCCCAGGTAGGAATGATGCTTACAACAAAAGAGGAATCATACTGGCGCAGTATGATTAGCCTCATAATCTGCCTTTGTCTGGCCAACACCCTATACTTAAAACATGAACAGAAAGGGTAATTATGGAGCATATGTGCATATGGCACTGTCCTCCCAACCTCTGCCTATTAAAATTTCAGTGACTTCCATAGCCAAATATGCAGCCAGACCAAAAAGTTCAACAGATATTCACGGACTTATTTTTCCTGAATTGGTCTAATCCCTTTTAGGGCAACAAACTCATCTGACTCAGTTCCACAAACACACAAGCTGATACAAATTAACATGGAAAACAATTCTTCATAAGAAAGGAACAAGACGGTGTTGTATATTTGTCTTCCTTACAAGGGAATGCTATGCTAAGTGAGAAGAAAGTCAGCTGCCAAGCAATAATGACAACTATCACTGGAGTATACAACTGTCACAGGGAATAGCAAATCACCACCCTTCTCTGCGGGGAATCCTGGCTTACACCCCTTGCCTGGAGGGCATTCAAAGAGCAAGGGAAGAGCATGGAAGAACATGAAAGCAACCTGCAATCTCAATGTACCACAGGCGTTAATTAACCTGGCAGCTATCCCAACTGCTGGCATCCAAATCCGCTTATCTGGGAGCTGCACATTTCAGCTTTTCTGCAGACACTCCTATGCACAGAGGCCCTGCACTGCACAGGGGCAGCAGGCTACATGGAAATAAGGGAAAGAGGCAGAAATAGAGGAACACTGAAAATTATGGCATTGCAATCATAACATCTGTTAGTAGCTGGAAATACATGTTATCTGAAGAAACGTACATTTGAATAAAGCAGGGGTTGCACCAAGAATGTAATAAAACAACTCTGGGAGAACAAGCATGAACGATCTCTAGTGAGAATACACGACAACTAAAGTACAATCGTGATGAAGCCAGAAAGGGATAACAGTGCAAGTAAAGGTATTTGTCTCTGGAAAGGAATTGGTTTTCTACATACCTGTCCAGTCTCCTACTACTTTAAGGTGGACCCCAAACGTTGCTTTGGTATCTGTAGGGCACTAAAAATATTAAATATATTAAGGACCACTTCTGAGTAACAATAAAATAACAAAACACATTCAAAGTACAGTTTTTAAGACAGAACCTGGTGTAAATGTGTCATTCCTGAGCAGCCATACCAACAGCTATACTGGTACATGGCTATATATATACACTTCAGAAAACAAGTGTAGCATCAGTGTAGTTCAGGAAGCCAAGCATGGATAGTCTCCACTCAAGTCTCAACCCTTTCTTTTGGTCTCAGAAGAGTTTGGGATGGGGTTATGATTTGGAGCAGTCACTTCACTGAGCATTACTCAGCAATGATACTGAGGATACAACAGTACAGTAATACTCCCTCTACTATTGACACTTATCATTCAAAACTAGGCCTCATCACACCTAAATCAAAGTATTTAAGAGATTTCTGGTTCCTGAATGTCAGGGCACATGGTTTCAAGCTGATCATTATCACAAAGCTGACACCTGCACTTCACAAGAAGTTTGCAAAGGGAAAACACCAGACTGCATGACACACTATACTTTGCAGCCATCCTTCTCTCATTCTACACCTACGCCCTTGCCTCAGGGCTACTTACTTGTGACTATCAACACAGGAATGATATTATTTACAGTCTTATCCACACCACAGTACCTAAAGCTCCAGTCAAGTCATGTCAAAGGTCTAAGAAGTCCCATCAGTTCTGTTCCCTGTTAGCTACAGGAAGATTTCAAATGCACTGTCTGGACAGCTTCTGCAGGTACATCAAGTGTTTTCACATATAAATAGGACAAGCAACTATTCCTCAAGGGAAGATTTTTCACTTTCCTTTCATAAACCAACACCACTGTTTTCTTATTGACAGAAGATACTACTATTGAGTTTTGACACCTTTCTTAGAAACTGTATTGACTGATCCAAGGTCCATCATGAATCCAACACTCAACAGATGACACTCCTGCCTTTTTTGTTCTACTGTTACAAATATGAATTGTCAGAAGAGGGCTTAAATTCAAGGAACTTATCTATATTAGAAATAAAAAAAAGACTTCAGTTCAAAAAAGTAATTGCCAAATGAAACAGCATTTCCTCACTACTGCACCTCACTGAAAAGGAAAGCTACAGGCTGGGCAGAAAAGAGATTCAGAGCAGCCCTGTGGAGAAGGAATTGGGGGTGCTGGTTGATAAGAAAATGAACATGAGCCAGCTTCTGTGTGCGCTCACAGCCCAGAAAGCCAACCGTATCCTGGGCTGCATCAAAAGGAGTGTGATCAGCAGGTCGAAGGAGGTGATCCTGCCCCTTTACTCTGCTCTCGTGAGACCTCACTTGGGGTACTGTGTGCAGTTCTGGTGTCCTCAACATAAAAAGGACATGGAACTGTTGGAACAAGTCCAGAGGAGGGCCACGAGGATGACCAGGGGACTGGAGCACCTCCCATATGAAAACAGGCTGAGAAAGTTGGGGCTGTTCAGCCTGGAGAAGAGAAGGCTGCGTGGAGACCTCATAGCAGCCTTCCAGTATCTGAAGGGAGCATATAGGGATGCTGGGGATGGACTCTTCATTAGGGACTGTAGTGGTAGGAGAAGGGGTAATGGGTTCAAACTTAAACAGGGGAAGTTTAGTTTGGATATAAGGAGGAAATTCTTTCCTGTTAGGGTGGTGAGGAACTGGAATAGGTTGCCCAGGGAGGTTGTGAATGCTTCATCCCTGGCAGTGTTCAAGGCCAGGTTGGACGAGGCCTTGGATAATATGGTTTAGAGCGAGGTGTCCCTGCCCATGGCAGGGGGGTTGGAACTCGATGATCTTAAGGTCCTTTCCAACCCTATCTATGATTCTATGACTCTATGATAAAAGGGGCCCACGTAGTGAATCCAAGCATCAAATAAGAAATCATCCATCAATTCTTGGCTCTGTTCTGGACCATTGCTATTAGCATTCCCAACATAATCTGTTGTGGAATAGAAAACCGCAGGCCTCAGGGCTGAGGCTCAGTTCCTGTAATTTCTTTACTTAGCAACAAACACAGATAAAAGGTTAGTATTCTCTACATCTTGGCCAACTTAGAATGGGAAATGCAATGTCCCAACAAGGTGCTCCATTTTCCTTAAAGGGAAGAGCATTCTTGTTAAGAGTACTGATATACTCATAATTCATTCCTTGTCAAGTGTTCCTATAAAAATTTGGTACAAAAGCTTATGTCAGAATTATTTCAGCAAGTCTTAGCCTTCAAATAAAATGGCATCAAGGGAGGGATACAGGCAGACCTCACACAATGAGCCCATTATTTGATGTGGCTCATTGCAATGTCTTCCAATAAAGACATCAAGACAATTCTCCAGATAGAAGTATGTAACCAGCCTCTCAGCTACAAACTTGCATACTGGCTGCAAAAAGATCTGTTCTCCTGGGGCTTTCTCTACTAGCCTTTAGCTGAGTTCATTTTTCAAGCTGGGCTGTCCCAGGGCTCTCTGTTTTATAGGCGGTTGAGTGATTTTCTTAGTCCAATTATGCACAGTCCCAGTTCAGCATATCTTCTATAAAACTGTCTGGTTTATAACCCTCCTTCCACTAAAGTTAAAGGCAGAATACTCCTGGTCTCCAGCCAGAATAGGTTCAAATCTGTTATCTTTTACACTACCCTTGTGACTATCTCATTTCTGCATGATTCTGGAAAGAAATCCAATAAAAATAGATTTATTTATTCCTTTTTAGATTTAGGAAGCCTATTTTGATACTTATAATTGGGTATGAGAGTTCTGGAAAAGTTTTACTGCGCAGCTAAATCTTACCAGAAGAAACACACTCATCATCTATGCTACATGGAGTGAATTTCCTGTGTCCAAGAGAGGGAGAAAGACTGCAGATGGTCCAGCAAAGGGCCACCAAGATGATGAGAGGATTGGAGAACCTGACATACAAAGAGAAGTCAATAAGGGAATGTGCTTGTGTAACTTAGAGAAGAGAAGGCTCAAGGAAGATCATTGTCTTCCGATACCTAAAAAATAGCTATAAAGAAGATGAAGGTGCTCTCACCGTCATCCATTGTGACAGGAGAAAAGACCAGGAGCATTAGTTGCTTCAGGGGAAATTCCATCTGGACATAAGAAAAACATTCCTCACTATGGAATAGGTAACCAGATGGCTAATTCAGATTCATAGGTCCCTGTATAACCTAATCTAGGCCCGTTACACCAAAGGTTGACCCAGATGACCTCCAGAGGCCTCTTCTAATTTAAGACTTTCCTATGGGCCTGTAATTTGAACTTTGAAAATTGTATGCGTGTTTTTATTGCACAGAACACTTATTTTACCTCTTTTATCTCTGTAAACACAATTACAAGTCTCAAAATTGTGGGGTTGTTTTTTTTTCCTCAGACTATTAGAGAAAATATTCCAGAAGCTGAAGAAAATATTCAAAGACAGTTTTACAGAAATTAAACCACTAAATTTCCCCATGTTACTGACAGACCACTGGGCACATGCAATGAAAATATCCTCATGTATTTAACCTTCTTAATGTAATCACAGAATCATAGGATAGCTGAGATTAGAAAGCACCTCTGGAGTCTGGCTACTTCAATCCTCTTGCTCAAGCAGGGTCTGTTGTGCTTTGAACGTCTCCAAGGATGGAGAGTCCACAGATTCTCTGGGCACCCTCACAGAAGAAAGTGGGGGGGTTTCTTATGTTCAGATGGAACCTTTCGTACTTCAGTTTGTGTTGTTTAGTCACTGGGTACCCCTGAGTCTGGCTCTGTTTCCTTCAATCCTGCACCAGTTCCAGCTCTCTCAGCCTCTCTTCGTATGAGATGCTCCAGTATCTTATTCATGTTCATAGCCCTTTCTGCTCCAATACATCCACATTTCTCTTGTACTGGGGAGCCCAGAATGAGACACAGAGCTCCAGATATATCTCACCAGTTCTGAGATACTCTCTTGACTTGCTGGCAATGCTCTGTCTATTACATCCCAGGAGGCTGTCAGCCTTCTTTGCTGCAAGGGCACATCGCTGGCTCATGGTCAGCTTGGTGTCCACCAGGACACCATGGTCACTCTCTTCTGAGAAGCCTTCAGCCAGTCAGTTCCTATCACTAGTACCTGGGGTTATTCCTTATCAGGTGCAGGTTTGGCAATTCCCTTTCACAACCATCAGCCCAGTTTTCAGCATCCCAAAGTCCCTCAAATGTCAGCACAACCACAACCACATAGTGCAAAATCCACTCTTCCATGTTCTGTATCATTTGCAAACCAGTCGACCCCTGAGGTACACCACTCCTGCCTGGCCCTCAGTTGGACTCTGTGCTACAGATCACAACCCTTTAAGCCCAGCAGTTTTCCACCTACCTCCCACCATTCATCAACTCCACACTTCTTCAATTTCTCTATGAGGACTTTATGAGAAACAGTGTCAAAAATCTTGTGAATAGTGGTGCTCTTGGCCATTTTACGTATTTAAGTCTCTGACCACCTTATTTACTTTCAGTTTGCCATATCTCATCTTTAAAACATTGCACAGCTAAACACTGCTTCAAGATCAGTATTACAGTCAGCTCATACATTAAACCAACATCTACTTATATTCTATGAAGATGAGCACAAGCTGAAGCACCCTCTTAAACTGGAAATCAAGTAAATAAGCACATAAGCTGTTATAAAATAGATCTTAAAATGTGTTTTGGCAACTACTGCTTGGATTTTCCTCTGCTCCTTTTAATCTGGGAGACCTAAGAGACAATCCAGTGACTATTAACTCTACTGTGGTGGGAGCTGCAAGAAGCCCCTTATTTTTAACTCATGACCTAGTACAATGCCCAAGAGGAAATTGTAAAGATTACCCAATATTGAAGAAAAAAAGAAACTAAAACCCAAACAGTTTCCTTTTCCCTAAACAAATGTCTTCCAAACAGGTAAATCACTAACTTGGATAGTCTGTAATGAGAGGAGACATTAGACATTGTTAAACAGAAAGGTCACAACAGGTTTTTCAGTAGCTCATTCTGCATTTTGGGGACTTAAATGAA